TCATATGATGGCTAACTTTTAAATCTTTTTCGTGAGCTTTTTACAAACTCTCGAAAACGGACATTGTCAACACTAGCCAACCACGTCTTTACACTGTCATAAAATCCAAGTACATGTATAATAATAGGACGTCCTGCTAGCCTGTTCGCTTCGAAAATTGGAATTGAGATTTCTGTCTGGTCCACTATCTTAGGAACAACTCATCAGATTTTACATTTCACTGACCTGTTGAGTTTTTGCTTGAAATATATGCATATTAATTACCTTAAATTTGCATAAATTAGGTAATTTTCAGATATCTCAAGAAATACTCAACTGATTTTACTGAAGCTTGGTGCTATGTTTATTGGGATAGTAGTGTGCAGACTTGATTACTTTTTGATTGAAATCATGTTTATTAATTACCTAATTTGCATATTAATATTAAATTATTTCTTGTACATATTTCATGCCTCCAACACTAGAATTATTTCTAAGCTCGGTTTGGCTTTTTCTCTGATATTTTCTATTGGAGATAAATTTCTAAAAGTGCAAATACTGTGAAGGGTATGTCACCTTACGAAATGAATTTGCCAACTTTTAACATATTGTCATTGCTTGATGTCGCCATGTATGTTTCAAATGAACTGGTATCCATAAGTGCTGCAATATAAATGTTTTTTAAATATTTACTGCTTAGTAAGTTATACCAATTTCAGATAAATTGATGAGGCAGTCAGTAAAACTAACTGCACAATATGTACCATAGGTTGAAATTGACGCCTGTCCACCTGACAGACTGACAGATTGTAGGAGAGACAGGAAATTCTAGTAATTGCCTGTCTCTGTGGACAAGTGTAACTTGAAATAATAGTAATATTGAAAATACCTAGCTGTGCAGAAAAGTTTTAACATTTTTTATCACTCTTCTCAGTGGAATTCATAATGCACAATTAATGAGACCTACTAGCAAATATTCATCTGCAAGGAGTGTCTCTATACAGTTTTCTATGCATACTAAGTCTGGTATATGTAACTTTTGCCAAAACATTAAAACCACAGGTGTGTTACGGCCATTCAAAATAAGTGTGACAAATTCAGAAATATCAATTTAATTTTGTCAGTCGTTCATGTACTCCTAACACGTTGCCTACTTGAAAGTCTTGCTGGATAGCCAAAATGAATGAAAAAAACAACAAATTGTTTATTTTTTTTCAAAGTCTGTAGTTTATAGAGAAACACATGTACAAGTCTTTGATGAGAAAGGGTTTAAAAATTGTTTTGAACTGGTTTCTGGTTTACACGCACTGTATTGTATTCATTCACACATTTATTGAAAAGCACTGTGTTTAAAAAGACAGAAAGCCCATTTACTGTCTTAACAATAAAACGCATGGTTGGAGTCTATTCATTGTTTTATGAACTGCAGTCCCTCCCTCAGTTATCAATAGACTAGCCCTATTGTAGTAAATGTGGGTCAAGGGTCAGCTAAATAAATAAAATGTGTTTATGTGGCAGGGTTAAAAGAGTGTAGGAGAATTGTAACCGCTGATACGTCCATATGTTGATTCTGTTATCACCTTACAAGTGTACATGTTGTATTACAGAGCCATGTAGGATTAGTTGCCGAACCCTACGTGAAATTAGTAACCCTGACTCCAGAGAATTTCACACATCAATCTTGTTATTATGCTTATATTAGTAGCAGCTGAACTATAATCGTGACATTTCTTTTTTCGGCTTCAGAACGATATTGATGCTGCTGTTAAGGAACTTCTAAGTTTGAAAGCAGAATACAAAGCCATGTCTGGTGAAGAATACAAGCCAGGTGGCAGCAGTAGCAAGAAAGTTGGGGAAAAGAGCAAGCCTGTCTCCGAGCCTAACCCAGTCAGCGAAGACCCTAAAGTTGTCGAGATTGTGAATAAAATTACGGCTCAGGGTGATAAAGTTAGAGGGCTCAAGTCCAGTAAGGCACCCAAGGTGAGTATTATTTAATTCATCAGAATTTTGGTTATTTATTTTTTAAACTGAATAATAGGAATTTTAACTTCACTTATATAGTGAATTAAGTTTGTTTTTTACCTTGTGTTTCTGACATTCTATGTGAATTTTTTGTCAAATTTAAATAAAACTTAATCCACAGTGAAAGACGCAGTGACCTAGATATTTCAATTGTTTAAAATTTCACCCAGTGCCATAATTTTTTTGGGAAAATTTTGGTTCAACATTTTGTCTGTTTTTATTCATTTTCTGTAATTTTTTTGATAATTTTGAAACAAATGGACATAATTTTCTATTTCTAGAACAAAATTTTGGAAAAATTTATGAAAAAATTACTTGGGTTTAAAATTTGTGAATTGTGAAAAAAGTGAAAGGTTATAACCTTTTCTCCAACAAATAAAACAAGTTTAGTCAATAAAAACTATTGTCACCTTGATAGGAGGAAGTTGATGCTGAAGTAAAGACTCTGTTGAGTTTGAAAGGCGAGTACAAAGAGAAAACCGGTAAAGAATTCAAACCAGCAGGAGGTGCAGCCGGAGGAAGAAGAGATCAAAAAGATAAACAGAAGAAAACCAAAGAAAAAGAAAATAAAGAAAAGCCCAAGGTAGAAAGTGCTGCAGAAGCTGGTAAAAAACAGACACGGCTTGGGTTAGAAGCCAAAAAGAATGAGAATCTGGCCGAGTGGTATTCACAGGTAAAAGAATTAATAAATACAATCTTTTGATTTGTGTCTACTATTATTAAACTTCAGCATCTCACTCTTACACTGGTAAAGACAAGTGAGAAATGTTTCACTTTTCCATTGTAATGAGCCTGGACACGAGTACTTCTATGAAAATATGGAACAAAGTATCTGAGAGATTGTTCACTCACATTTTACATTTATTATTATTTTTTTCAGCTTTTCTGTTAATTCCTCAGATGATTATCGACATGTGTTAGCTTTTTAGTGATAAAAATTAAGGGAAGAATATTGGGATGAAAGTGATTGCTACGATGATGACAGTGAAAGCACCAGCATTGTTGTTTCATTAATTTTTATAATAATAATATTAATTAACTTGCCAAATATATTTTTATACAACTAAAAAAATCAAGAGAAGTAGTTTCTATAAATGGTATAAGTTTTAGATGTAATGTGAAAGTAGAAAACACCTTTTTAGCGTATTTCACACAACTTTTCTTGTCGCATTGATGTTCTAAAAATAAAGATGACATAAAATATTTTCTTCTTTTCATCTCTCACATAGATCATCACGAAGTCTGAGATGATAGAATACTATGATGTCAGTGGCTGTTACATCCTCCGACCATGGGCCTACAGCATATGGGAAGTTATCAAAGACTTTTTTGACACTAAAATAAAGGAGCTTGGAGTGGAGAACTGTTACTTTCCGATGTTTGTGTCTCATGCTGCTTTAGAAAGAGAGAAAACACACATTGCAGACTTTGCTCCTGAGGTAATGTCTAATTTCCGTAGCTCATTTAAATATACATTTAGAAAAAAAACTTCAACAGCAGTGTTTAAAATTCCCTATTTAAACAAAATAAGGATATACATATATCTTTCTCATAGTTGTCTGCTCTGATTCTTGTTCATTTCTGCAGGTTGCCTGGGTAACAAAATCAGGTTCTTCTGATTTAGCAGAGCCAATTGCTGTTCGTCCAACCAGTGAGACAGGTGGGTTTTGAATTTTTGAATTGTCAGACTGAATACGATTGATCATTAATATTATTATAAGGAGAAAAAAAGCTTGTACGTTATGTTAAAGGGTGCCGATTTGCTAACATCTGTGTAATGATTTATGCTGTTTGTGAGGGAATAGTTTTGCGAAAGTCAGTGTGTCTCCTCTGTATTAAGAACCACAATGACATTTTCATGGCTGCAAATATCATGATTTTCACTTGTAGCACAAAATTTGAGGAAATTAGTTTTGCAAATTTGAGGTGATTTATTTCAAATGTAAATTATTATTTTCTTCTGTGATTTGTCTCTTATCTCAGTATTTCTTATTTTAGTTATATATCCAGCATATGCAAAGTGGGTGCAGTCACATAGAGATCTACCAATCAAACTAAACCAGTGGTGTAATGTTGTGGTGAGTCTCGATTTCTTGGAAACCTTGCATAACTATTACTAAATAAGGCCATCATCTGGCAACAATTTTGTGATGCTTTGCATATTTTTATGTATTTAACTTTGTAGCAGAGCTGTCTTGAATTGTTCAATGCACATTCTAGAATTTCCTGGTTATATGCAATTCTGTTGATTAGCAAGAATCATTTTTGACTATCATGAATATTTAATAGTTATGAATAATAATTAGTGTATGAATTTTATTTACTGGGACGACTGGCATTCTTGACAGACTCAATTTTTGTTTTTTGTTTTTTATTGAACAGAGATGGGAGTTCAAACATCCTCAACCATTCCTGAGAACTCGGGAGTTCTTGTGGCAGGAAGGTCACACAGCGTGGGCGAATGCAGAAGATGCCCAGGAAGAGGTTATTACTATTTTAGAATTGTACGCACGTGTCTACGAGGAATTGCTGGCTATTCCTGTCATCAGGGGAAGGAAAACTGAGAAGGAGAAGTTCGCTGGCGGTGATTACACAACAACCGTTGAGGCGTTTATATCAGCAAGTGGAAGGGCTATTCAGGTATGTACTTACATGCACATGTGTTTGTTTATTTCATTTCCCATTCACATGCCATCCTTGTCGTCTGTATGTTTATATCTATGTGGCAGTTGACCAATAGGGTATGATTATGAATGTTGTCGAACTGGAAAGTTTGCAGTTTACCGGATTTACTGGCAAATTTACTAGCTGAAATCAGTAAAAGGGGTAAATTTTTTGATATTTCCAAATTGTGTTTCATTTTATTTATAATGGGGAAAAAGTAAATAAAATCCAAAACACATAAATCATGTGAATATGTTTTTGGTTAAATGTGTTAGCAGTTCCAAGCATCAAACAATTTACTATGTAAATTTTTTTTCACATGACGGTTAAAATGACAAGGCCATGCATAATTAACCTAATTAATTGCATATTTTTGTTAATGTTCTGATTCAAAATTTCACAAACACACTACCGTAATCTGAATGTGATTTACCTAATTTGCATAATTACCTGATGTTTAGCATTTCTTATATTTCAATGAAACTTGGTACATCAGATTTGATTTGTGTTGATTTGTAATCTGTGCGTATTGATTACCAAATTTTAGATTTTTTAGATTTTTTCGATCGTGTTCAGTAGATTAAGAGTTCAGTTGTTATTAAGTAGTACTGTATTTGTTCTATTAAAAGCACATGCACACTCATTACAGGTGTATTTATAATTCAGTCTACATCACGTATACAATTTTTGGTTTATATGCACTCCTATTGGAGATGCACTTCTATTAGAGCAAATACAGTACTCATGCACATAACAATAGATATAGGACATCCAGTTATTATTTAAAGGATGGTGGTCATCATGTCGCTATGCATTTCATTTTTTATATTTGACCCGCACATATTTACTTTATATGCATTGTGTGGGTCCCACACTGTGTACGTGTCATACAAAACAATGTTGCCATGTGCAACCAATGAGAGATGATGTACATTATTGCACTACATTTGAATGATTCTGTCCTGCTTTCGAACTTTGCCACCAATACCTCCCTTTAGAGTTCTTACAAAGATTCTTTGATTTCTCCTGTCAATTTATTAGATAATTATTCATTGAAACTGAATAAACATTAGTCTATGAATATTATATAACTATTTATTATTCTTAAACAAATTCTCAGGGTGCAACATCACATCATCTTGGTCAGAATTTCTCAAAGATGTTTGATATTACGTTTGAAGACCCATCACAGGTTTGTATTTTAGTGTAAAAAATATTTATGCAAAGTTACTGCTTATCAGTTCAACTTGATCGAATCGTTTTCTCTCACATGATTTGTTCATTTTGCAATGAAACAAGAATTCAGTTAATTTTATTTTTCAGATCTCAGAAACTTGGGTAGCTATAATACCCATTATGTATCATGTCGGATCTTGTCATTTGTACCAATGAATCAGGCTAATTAAGTGTTCATAAAATTGTCTTCTCTTGATTGTAGCCAAGCAAACATCAGTTTGTTTATCAGAATTCATGGGGTTTAACCACACGTACTATTGGTGTACTATGCATGGTACATGGTGATGACCAGGGTTTAGTGCTGCCACCCAGAGTGGCTACTATACAGGTAAGAGCAGAGGTTTAACCACACGTACTATTGGTGTACTATGCATGGTACATGGTGATGACCAGGGTTTAGTTCTGCCACCCAGAGTGGCTACTATACAGGTAAGAACAGAGGTTTAACCACACGTACTATTGGTGTACTATGCATGGTACATGGTGATGACCAGGGTTTAGTTCTGCCACCCATAGTGGCTACTATACAGGTAAGAATCGTAATACTGCAATTGTTTGACTTAGCGTTCAGAGTGATATTAAAGCTAATAAAAACAAAAAACTTTTTTTCAGGGAGTGGGCACTCAGTCAAGCACCCCACTCAAAAAATATCCAAAAAACTATTTTCGGGCCATCAAAACACCTTGTGTCAGATTGAAGGCAACATTGCATTTTGGGAAAATAAAATATTGGTTTCACAACACTTTTAGAATGATGAAACAGACTTGATCACAAAAATAAACTCATTTATTACAATATTATTTACATACCGTGAGAAATTTTGATGTAAAAATTATTAGCGCCTGTTGGGAAAACAGTCAAAGTCAAGATTATTATTATATATTAAAGACTTCATTATCTTTGTTATTGAATGTTGAATAGTTGATGCTTAGTTCAGCATGGGTGTACAGTATTATTGGTACGCCATCACAGACTCCTTAATTTTTCAATTTGTAAGTAATATCAAGTGAAGTTTTTCATCTCATTTGTAAAATTAATAATAATTTCTGTTTAACACAGATTGTAATTGTACCTTGTGGCATCACTGTCGACATGTCAGATGTGGATAAGAACGCCCTTCTCGATAAATGTCAGGAGTACGTCAAACTATTCAAATCGACCGGAATGAAATGCAAAGGAGACTATCGGGATAACTATTCACCTGGATGGAAATTCAACCATTGGGAGTTGAAGGTGAGAATGTTCATTATACTTCTTCTGAAATCTACTAGAAATGGAATCTATTATAGTTTGTTCATTGCAGTATGGGGTGATATGATATGTCTCTTGATTTTTTCATTTCATATAAATCACACCAACTTCGTTCTTTATCAGGGTGTACCTTTGCGTATTGAAGTTGGACCACGTGACATGAAAAAGAAACAGTTTGTAGCCGTACGTCGTGATACTGGTGAGAAGACCACATATCCAGAAGATGGCGCCGCAGCCAAAATTCGTTCGTTGTTGGACAATATTCAGAGTTCCCTGTATGACAAGTAAGTGCAAATTACAACATTGTTAATTGACCTCTATGACCTTGATTGAAGGAATAGAAAAATGCATATAGTCTATAGAAATTTACATATTTGAATGAAATTAATTTTGAAATATAAATTTGATATATATATCATTTTTTTTTATTCTCAGAGCCAATACTGATCTGAACAACCATGTTAAAGTCACTACAGATTGGAATGAGTTCTACGCACTTCTTGATGAGAAGAATGTAAGTTAGAAATGCTTTTTGCATAATAATAGATGCATGCTTCTAGCCCTGTGGTTGTCCTTGTGTATATGTATGATAATTAATTCAATGCATTCATATATTATATATTCTAGTTTATTTTTTTTGTTCTCTACTCTCCTGAAAGATTTAACTACTAAAAGAAGTGATATTCCATATAACCAGTGGTTTAGTGAGATCTCTGATCCATGATGGCCTCAATAAATGCTGCTGATTCTCGTCAAAATAAACATGTATGCGTGACTTTGTTTCAGATCATCATGTCGCCGTTCTGTGGTGAAGGTGCATGTGAAGAAAAGATCAAGAAGGAGAGTGCGAGGTAAATTATTACTTTTCCATTACTCTTCAGGTTTCTCTCAAAGTTTGAACTCCATGTGTGCAATTCCAACTGCATCTCATGCATGCCTGGATTGATCACTTTCAAACTTCACGTGCACATCATACATCATAGGATACGTATCCAGTCCATTTGTTCATGAATTGATCCATATCTGCCATTTCAAAACCCTATCGCAGTCGTGTGTGGATGGATGGATTTTGATTACATACATTTGACATTATGGAACGTTGATGCATGTCATTTTGTTTTTCAGATTTGATCAAAATGTTTGACTAGCGGCCATTTTGTTTTATAATGAATGCTATTTCAGAGCCATATCATGTGACATTTTAAAACTTTGTATATTTCTTAAGCTCGATAACTCTCAGCCATTATGTAATTCAATTTTCATCATGATTGTGTCTAATAAATAAAAGATACATGTATTACAATATATTTATAAGAGTAAGATTGAATAAGGAAAATTGCTGTCCATGTTTGTTATCCATAATGGGGAGTCACTTAATGTACAGGTTGCGTGATTAAAGCTGGTAGGCTCGTTGGGCACTACATTTTACTCAGTTCATTTTTTCTGTAAAACATAAAAAATATGCAGAAAAAAACCCAAAAACTTATCTTCACATTTTAGATCAGTTAGATTATGCTATTAATCATTTCACTAATGGATAAAACAGTTTACTTGTATGATCATCTCTCACACAAAAGTTGTTTTCTCAGAATAGTTACATCCCTACTCAATCCAGTGCTTTGATAACCATACTTAATGCAGCGTAAAGCATTGTAACTCCCCCAATCTAAAACAGTTTTGCACTAATACTATTACATGCCTGTCCAGATTCACACTCAATTCTTGTATGTAATATATGCATGTTTTGTACCTTGCAGGGATCAGGATTTAGAACCGGGTGCGCCGTCCATGGGAGCCAAGTCGTTGTGTTTTCCATTCAAGCAACCAGCGGAAATCACTTCTACTACCAAGTGTATTCACCCAGACTGTAATAATAAGCCACTTAAGTACTGCTTGTTTGGACGCAGCTACTAACAAACCAATAAAATTCCCCAATGTGTTCTTCACTGATGCTGGAATTTTCACTCAACCACATATTACATGACACCCTAAGTCCTTCCTGTTTGATTCAATGACTTACAGTACACCTTAACTCACTGATCTTAAAAAGCTATATGACAAAATATTCGGTGAAGTTTATTTACTGACTTGATTTCATAGAATCGATCCATCTGAAAGTAAGATTTAACTGAATATACATTGTATTTAATGCTGATATACTGAAAATCTTGTATGTAATAATTTACATGAGATAAATAACCTTCATGCATGACCTCCAAAAGGTCTTACATCCTTGTACTTTCTGTAAATCCACTATCAATGAGAATTTCTTGATTACTGTTAAATACCTTTTTTTAGCTGGAATTAATTTTCAATGAAAAGGCTTTTTGGGTGTTTTGTATGGAATTTATCGCAGATTTTTTGATGATTTGAATGTGAAATATAGGAAAAAATGTATACCGGTATTCGCTAGATTTTATTTTTACTGAAGCACGCCTTCAGCGAAAATAGCAGAAATAAAGTATTCAGGTCCCCCTCAGTGCATGCAGTTGTCATTGAAATTCAGAAACAACCAACAAAAATATTGCATATCTTAAAAATATTTAGAATATCTCCAGAAAGTGTCAGGTTGTATAACCTTTAGGAGTCATTCATGAGGCTTATCAAACACTACATGAAAAGTACAAATAATGATAATAAATTGAAATACAATTCCATTGAAGTAACTCATTGTCTGTATTTATTATTTCACTTAATTGCATTCCATTTACAAGCACATTATAATAGTGCATTGGCAATGTCCATCTGAATTGGATGGTTTAACTACAGAGTTGATTTCAACCACTGTCCCTCAACACTGTTGAGAGATCCTGCTGCGAAGCCGAGATAGATGGGAGGTGACCAAGAAGATGGACACCGAACCCAGAAATGGGGGGGGGGGGAGAAGCAGAGCCAAAAATAAATGAAGAGGTGGTGGGAAAAGAAATTGATTGAAAACAAAACGATGCTCACTGAAGTGCAGGTAGATATGTGAATGACTAAGACAAAGGCACACAAAAGAAAACGATGAGAAAATAAGGGATGCTACGGGATGTGTGCAAAAATGACACTAATTGTTTACTGTTTCTTACACATGTACACCTATATTTGGTCTTTGCGTTTTACACCAACCAATTGAATAAGACTTGTTTAAAGCAGTTAAAAATAGTTGCATATTATAGGATCAAAATTAAGTGATTTTCATCGTGCATTTATAATATTGGTCTTTATTATACATCTGTCACCGTAAGTTACAGCGTAACGTAATTTTACAGATACTTTCATCCTACCATGTAAGGAAATGCCAATTCCAAATATGGAATGATTACTCATGTAAGCGTCCTCTAATGATAAAAACAAACATGGTTACCACCAGAGTTAGACCCGACTCCACACAAAGAAGTTCGCTGATTCTGTTCTAAACTTTTTGGATTTCGGCATTCCCATGATGTATCCTTGGAAGGAAAAGATGTTTAATAATAAGGTTATACGAGGATAGTATGCACTTAGACAGTGCCCCGTTGCATTAACCTCGCTGCACGTTGGTCAATACTCCGCTGAACTGTCTTCATGCATACTTTTCGGTATCCTCGTAATAACCTCATAGTATTGTTACTTCATAAACCGAGGCTAATTTCTGTGGAAAATAAAGACATGTAAATTTCATCTGTATGTTTGATTTGATTCATATATATTATGACATTGTTATTGTGCCAATGCTGATTTAAGACAATGCTTTCAAATACAAGGGAAAGTTAAATATGTCATTTTGATTTAATCATGAATACACTAACTTCTAATTTATAGAATCGATTTACTTTAATATCGCAAAATAGTTAATAGAAATATTGTACTAAGATTAAAGCGCGGTGGTCGTCGCGCAGCGCGCGTTCGAATTTCATGTAAATAAACAATGTACTTTACACGCGTTGTATACGTCGCTATGAGTCCCATATCAAACAGGACGCGGCACGACGACTGCCGCCCTTTAAGTAAAATGTATGTTATTAATCAGTCAAGATTATACTAAATCCAAATAAACGTTTATCAGGATAAACATCAAAAAAGCTGTCGTCACATTACTTGTAGCTTAGAACATGTCCTCCCAATCAACTCCATGTGAAGAGTTTTGTCAGATTGTTAGGCCACTCAAGATGTCAAAATGTCCAAATTAAAAACTTTTCGTCTGGATTTTTAAAAAACAATTTGTTAGCTCAATCTAAAAACAATGATGCAGGTTAGTTAACCATTTTTTGATTCAATGAAAAAAGTTACTCTATGAAAAATCATCAGAAATCAGTTGAATATCGTTGCCACATTTTATTTGTTGATGCATCATTTTGAGTTCTGCTGTTATTGTAGTGTCGGTAGTGTGTGAAAACTGGCTAGTGAGAGTAATGCTCTTGAATAATACTTTGGTTGATGTACCTGGTATTAATTATATTTACATTATAATTGTTTGATTATTAGCTGTCCCATTGATATCTTGTTGTTTAAAGCGGGAGGGTCGTCACCTGCTCACGCGCGGGAAATTAGTTCCATGCGACGATAAAAACACGCTGAAAACGCAAAGGTTCATGGGTAGATGCATGTTTGTAAACAATCACACGCTATGGCCATCTGACGCATGCGCAGGTGACGACTCCCCGCTCTAAGATGCAAAAATATAAATGATACGCTAACCATCTGAAAAATAGGATTATATTTCATAAATGTTTCACTTCATACCAAACACCATATAAGCATTGATTGTACAACCAAGACGTCATGGTGTATACTATATACATGTACCAACTTCCATGACATGAGTGACCCACACCCAACTTGCTATTGATGGGTTCGAGCACCGAGTCTGGTATGTTCGATATGCATGCCATGTATTCAATACTGTTACACATTGCACGGAAATGTTATCGGCTTTTATAGCAGTCTCGTTCCTTCTAGATAGAAAGATGGCATACGTTCAGAATGTTCCTGATACTATAACATATTTAACCGAGTTTACCTTACACGACTGAAAGCTTTTTTCTTTACCCTCGTGAATGTTTTTAACAAGAGTATTCATTCCTCAAAGGGGAAACCCTTCTGGAATAAATGTTTACATCACTATATGCATTGTTCCTTTTGTGAAATGCGGTCCCTGATATCAATGGAATCGTCCTGTTCTGCTGTGGTTCAAGGTATCATCCCAAAATAGCAATTTAAATAAATGCGTTCATTAGGCAGGTTAGGGGGAATATTAGTCGCTGATACTACTATGGTGAAACTACTATAACTATATCATCATGTGTACGTTGTAAGGGAAACTCTTGTGGAATTAATTGTTAATCCAGTCACCATTTTTGTTGTTTTTGGTTGCATCGTGTCGATAATGGTGCTTCTGCTGTCGGTCAAAACTAAGCTTGAAAGCAAGGTGTTTAATGTCTGGTGAAGAGTACACGCCATTTTTAGAGTAATTGTGATTGCACAGATAGATGCCCCAAGTCCTGCAAGGCATCCAATGTGAGTGGTGTTTGTTTTACTCCAGTATAAGAATTAGGAGGACTGTTCTTTAAAATATCCAGAAATTCTCTGAGATTACTCTGGACATTATTATAAGAGTTCTCTTATTTTGAATTATTTACGAACTATGTTGTGTTCTGCTGTCTTTGTCTTCACGAGACGACGGGAATATCCTCATATTGACCCCGGGTACTGGCACATTAGATCTTCTGGTTGTATTTTTATAAATTATCTTACATCAGCAATTACCATATCAGGTCGATTTGAAACTTGTTCGGTCGAAACAAAATGCCGTTAATTATTGAGTTCGACAAATATCCTTCTTTCTACAGTCCTGAAATTAATTTGACAAATATCTTGAGAAGGATCTTCTTCGAAACTGGGATTAGTCAATTGTCATTGCAGAACAGTACTGTGATTCAGGATAGCAACCATGTCGCAACCATTCTTGGCATTTAAAACTTCCATACATGAGTCCAGTTAACATCTATATTGTGTTTGGAATTTGAATTTAACGTTACATTTTTGCAAGGTAATTGATGTCTGCTGAAGAATACAATCCATTTAGCAGCTGGAGAAGAAAGCAATGTTGTTCCCAAACCTAACCCAGGCTTGGATTCAATTACACGGGCATCTAAAGGTAGATGCAAGGCTACCCGAGTAAGTATTTTTTACTCCAGTGAGAGAATTTGCATAAACAATGCTTTAACAAAATTATGTTTAACTTAAAGCTGGTGTACCTGACCTCTGCTGTTACAAATTGAGTTATCATGCCGACCTATCGGAATCTGGTTTTACTGAAAAATGTTATTTTATTGCTCAGTTCAATCACAGTTATCAATTTTACTATGGTACAAAAATTATGTTTTAATTATCAGCAATTTCGCAATGTATATAAGAATAAGATTTTAGATTTTTTAGATTTCTCTCAGTATAATAAGTATTATCTATTAGCCTTAATTGACATTTGTATATCCAATGGCAGCCATTGCATAAATAATTAACGCTGGCTTTTAGTTTAAATCACCATAGTAATTATCATGTTTGCATAATAATAATGGATGTTAACAAGATCATCTGACAGAGTCGACGCGCAACCTTGGAATCATCTTTGATCAGCTATATATATTATTTCGATTGATTGATTGATTTATAGATTTTTCAAGAACTATCCGATAGATTGTGATGCAACTTTGGACATATAATTATCTAAGTTGCATAACAATCAGCAATAATTTTTCATTTTCGTTTATTTTTGCGGAAAAATCTTCAACCCGTGACCTTGTATTTAATCAAATTGGCTACATAGTTGCCCTGGGATAATCTACAGATCCAACTTATGGACGGGGATTACCTAGTAAGCTAGGCTAGAATAATCAACAAACTTATATATATACGACTGGTAATACAAAATATAATTGACATTGATTAAACTTAGATTCACTGGCATGATCTGCAAACCCGATTAGTTGTTGGTTGCATATGGGTATTGGTTTACATAAATAAACCCCTGGCCAGTTCTTAGATTTGTCCTGGTGCATTTAGTGAACCACCTGTTAGATTCAATATAAATTTTGTATATGCGTGCTTTCGGGTAATTGGCAGACAGCGAGCGGAAGATGGAGAGAAAAAGACAAACAGGGAAAAGGCAATATAAAAGAAAAGCCGAACGAGGAGAGTAGTGCAGAAGGTGGGAGCACACAACTTGGATTATTGGTTAAAAAGAGTGAGAATCTGGCAGAATGGTATTGGCAGGTAAGTTGTAAATCTGCACATGTGAATTAAAATGGTCTTAAGTCATCCATCATAAGAATGTGAAACAATCTACACCAAAGTAAAAAACAACAACTCATATATGCAGGTGAGAAAGAATATACCATCGGGATTTTCACGCTGTGTGGAAAATCAAATGGAGGCAACACACGTTTAGTAAGTTCGATTTCCACAAAGTGATACTGACATGATAAATATATTCATTCATCCTGAGCAATGGCTATATACCGGTACTAGAAAAAATAAAGCATCAGTCACTTAGACTATAAACTTAGAACGAATCCACGACACTTTCTCTGATGAACTATCCTATGCTGGATTGGACTGGGAACAGGAATTGTGGCCAATTACAAGGTTTGTCACTTGAAAAAAAAGATTTTACACATAATATAAAAGTACATTGGTGGCGTGTTTATCTCTTCCTTCTTTCACATAGATCATCACTAAGTCTGAGATGATAGAGTATTATGACGTATATGGCTGTTACATCCTTCGACCATGGGCCTATAGCATATGGGGAGTTATTAAAGAATTCGTTGGTGCTAAAATAAAGGAGCTTGGAGTGGAGAACTGTTACTTTCCGATGTTTATGTCTCAGGCTGTATTGGAAAGAGTGAGAGCGTATGAGCACACTGCACACTTTGCTCCTGAGGTAATCGTAATGTAAAATAAAACGATATATTGTTTCGAAGTTATGTGTAAAAAACCACACGTGTGAACTAGAGGTTTAGCATAATCCTTTTCTCTCATTTCTTACAGGTTACATGGGTGACGAAATCTGGTTCTTCGGATTTATCTGAGCCAATTGCTCTTCGGCCAACAAGTGAAGCAGGTGAGTTGTGCTCTGATTTGTAAAATTGTAGTGATTGATTGGTCAGAACATTAAAAAAAACACGTTTAATTCAAATTAGTTCACATAATTCATACTGTTTATAGTGAACATACATAATATCAAAGCATTTGCACTTTAATTACATGTAGCGTTCATTGTGGTATATTTATACGAATACTTGTGCATTTCACGTATGTGACTCGTACCGAACTGTGCACGACCACACTGAGTAACACTTGCCAATTACTCAGAATCACGCCGCTATAATTTGTCTAACCTTAATACATACTTATTTTAGTCATGTACCCAGCATATGCTAGGTGGGTGCAGTCACATAGAGATCTACCAATCAAACTGAACCAGTGGTGTAATGTTGTGGTGAGTCATGTTGATTTCTTTGGAATTTTGTATACTAGTATACTTAGTTTTGAGAAAAAGAACATCATAATAAAAATGGTCTTTCAGATTTGGTTCTCATTTGTTTGTTACATTTGAGTAGTAACAATTTCACGCAATTCAAATCGTAAATTGAGAAATCTTCCATTCACACATTGACATAAAAAGTCACAGTTTAAAATTGAGCTACAAGGTATTATGTTGATTGACTTCCATCTTTCAATATATCCTTGCATTAAACTAAAAACAAATACAAAAAATCATAATAATAAAATGTAACTTACAAGTCCTAAAACTAAAAAAAAATAATTGGCAGACCAATAATGCATCAAATAAACCATCAGGTACACCACAGTCAACTCAGTAGAATGTCAACATGAGGCACAGGCCATATTTCATAATCAAAATGATATAACAAATATGTATGGATTTGAACCAGCAAAAGTATTATAAATATTTGTAATTATTGTGGTTATATTATTATGTGCTCTCATTCTAATTCGTTTTTCTGCTCATTGAACAGAGATGGGAGTTCGAACATCCACAACCTTTCCTGAGAACTCGCGAGTTCTTGTGGCAGGAAGGTCACACAGCGTGGGCGAATGTAGAAGATGCCCAGGAAGAAGTTATTACTATTTTAGAATTGTACGCACGTGTCTACGAGGAATTACTGGCAGTACCTGTCATTATTGGGAGGAAAACTGAGAAGGAGACATTTTCTGGTGCGGAATACACAGCAACTATTGAGGCTTTTATACCTGCAAGTGGAAAGGCTAATCAGGTAATTCAGGCTATTATGGTGCGACATGTACATTTGTACTAAATCTGTATTGTATTCGCATCCTTATTACATTCAAATTTTGTAAATAAAATGGTTCACAACAATTCTGTTGGTGAAACATGGTACAGTTACTATTTGTTTCGTTATTTTCATCTGTATTCAATATAATTACCTGTATCTGTGATGGGATGGCTGATAGCATAATATAGAAATGGACTTTTCTAAATTGGGAAAATCTGATTGACGTGAAAGAATCCTTTACCTAAGTAAAAGACCATGTGCTCCTAAATAGTTTAAATAAACATATTCAGATAAACTTTTGTATGTTTACAGAAACTTATTAATTATTCACATATATATATATATATATATATATATATATATATATATATATATATATATACATACATCTGATATTATTACACCATTATTGTTTTAGGGTGCAACTGTACACCATCTTGGTCAAAAGTTCTCGAAGATATTCGACATTACATACGAAGACACCTCACAGGTTTGTGGCAATCATAGTAACTAGTTATGTCGAAGTACAATTACATATCACATTTATCTGACTGTTTTTCTCGTATGTACTGGTAAGCGTTGTGTTAAAATCAGGGGTACATGAATTAGTATAGTAACTGAAATTCACCATGAAGGCAGGTGCATGTAGGTAATGGCATCCTTTGTTGAATCTCAGTGCTTGTAATTCATTAATACAGTGGGAAAGTAAAAATATAACACATTTTCTGCTCTTAATTGTAGCCAAGCAAACATCAGTTTGTTTATCAGAATTCATGGGGTTTAACTACACGTACTATTTGTGTACTATGCATGG